GAAAAATCTCTAGTTTTTCTCTAGTTTCAAGATTCACTGTCTTAAAACAAGTTCCTTTAGCTTACTGAAACGTTGCCCTGTAGCTGATTGTGTCTTATTTTAAGTGTAATGAGATCATTTTGACTAGAAATAAGACAAATATACTTGGTAAGATTTTGAGTTTTTGCAGTGAGGTGAAGCTCTGCCTCTTTTTATTTCATGTTACTGACCTGCTGCCAGGTAGTGACAAACTATCCCTCCAGCTTTTTTGTGTTGCTGCCATCAGCTTCAAACTGAGCTGATGTTTTTTCAATAAATAGTAAAAGGTCTCAATTTAAACACTTGGTGTTTTCTATGTTCTGCTGTGAATCAAATGAGTTTATGTGATTTGCGAATCACTGTTTTTATTTATATTTTCTACAAAGCTCCAACTTATTTGAGAATAAGGCACAAAACAGGTCACTGTTTATTGTGATCTTTACAAAGAATATTTTTACCTCTAATTTTGTTATTTTTCAGTCACAGCTGCTGTTTGCAGAGGTCTGGATCGCAGCACTGTTGTTGTCACCACAGTTTTAGCAACGTTTGACTGTGAAAAAAATGTTTTTAACTAACAGAGAGAGAAAAAAAAAACATGACTCTGTAACTCTGGGAGGAAATATCTGTATATTCCTTCACCTGAGAGCTCCACCTTCTTGATCTTGATCAATGCGTTGCAGCTTTTCAGGCCATCCTTGAACAGCTCCGTCCTCCCAGGTTTCAGTTTTAAAGGGCACATGCCTGTGCTGGCTCTGTGGGTCTTCGGGGTCAGGAGGAAGGTCCAGTCTCCACCACTCATGGTCCTCAACCAGGGGCTCAACATGACATGGCAGGATGGCAGCATTGTCATGAGTGGACACGATTAGCTGAGATGAACTGAAGATAACTTGAGACACAGAGAGGAAACATGAAACGTTTTAGTGTTTTTAAAACAGGGTGAAGCTCAAATATTCACATATTTCCTGAGCATCCAGCCAGAGTCAAAGAGCCCTGCTACACATGTTCAAACACTACTGCATATTAGAGTCACTGGGAGCTGCTTTCACGTCATGGTGAAAATCTCTGTAACAAACCGATAGAGGAGAAGAAGTAGCAGACAGAGAACTGTTTCAGCTGAAGTTGTTGATCCATTTTCACTCTGCAGTAATCCTCTGTGTTCTCTGCTCGTCTATCACTGCTTTTTTGGATCAGCCACCAAATAGGACAAGAACAGACTACAGCAGACAGTGAGGTCTGCAGAAAACATCACTTCTGCTGAACTGACCTCCAATCAGGAAACAAGCAGGTATCATCACTGCAGACCCGTCACACACTGAACACTGTAACAGTGTAATGTAACACTGTAACCTCTGACATGTGTTTCTTTCCACAGGCTAAACTGTCTTTATTTAAAACATCCACCATACCTGCTGCTGAACCACAATGTGCTGTTTATACTCCTTACTGTACACACCCGTGTATATACTGTATGTATAGAAACCAATTATGCACTCTTTATTCCATGATTTATTCCAAAAAATATAAATATTTCATGAAAACTGATTTAGAAAAAGCTGCTTTTTATTTAATTTTTCACATGTTAACCTTTCAAATATATTCAGCAGAAATTAATAGCTATTATTTGAGTCTGAAATGTCTTTCTGAGCTTCCTGCTTAAAAAAAACCACACGCAAAATGAACAGTATTTCTTTGCTATAACAAACTCCATGTAAACAATCTTGGTATTAAAATAAAGCTATCGCTTCTGAGATTTCATCAGAGATGTAAATATTATAGTTGATTCTACTGTGTCAATTATACTGAGGCTCGAAGATAGAAAAAGTAAGTATGTTTTAACCTCTTCTAATTTATTTTTAGATTTTATTGCATAAAACCACTTTGAAAATATGCTTGAGTAGACAATAAACTCCAGAAAACCAGGAACCGATGTATGGACATTATATAAAGATTGATGCTGCTGAAGTGAAACAGTAAAAGGTGATAAAACTTTTGATAAACTCATTGCCAGACATGTTGCCATTGGAGCATTTTGGCACCATCTACCAGTTTCAGTTCTTTGGTATTGAACGGCAGAAATGATTGAACTTTATATACATGCCTAAAAATGGTTGTTTTTTTTAATTTTTTTTTTTAAAGAATTACCCCCACACTCAGGTACATTGGATCTTTTTGCCTTTTAGAAAATGCACTTTTAGAAAATAGCCTTTAACTTTGGTTTGCTTCTCTGTAGCTTGTAGGGTGGGCTTGCTAGAATGGGTTAGGGCGCTCTTGGATTAACTGGATCTAGTTCAGTTATTCGAGTAAACAATGAAGATCAAGATCCGTTAGAGTTTATATTCTAACACAGCAAAACGAGCAGAGAAAAAAAGACAAAAAATATAAAATCAATTTGCAGCTGAATGCAGGTTTCCCCAACCTTATAAACGATGCATTTGCATAATCTTCAACTGAGACTGAAGGTGTCACTTGGATGAGTGATGAAACGTTTCTCCCACTGAAAATGTCCAGTTGAACAGTCACTTTTTTGGGATTTCCTTACCTGGATGATTGAACATGCATTTAGACAATTTAAAGTTTAAAGTTTCAACTTTAAAACAACTTTATTACTTTTTCTCCTTTTCCATTTTCTACTTAACATGGAATTAACAATAATCCCATTACTTTTGAAAATTTAGTCACATATGAATATACTTCACTCCATTTTTCATTCAGTTTATGAAATTTATCTTCATTTAGATTCATCCTCAGTTCATTCTCGGATGAGCGTCCATTTTGACATAATCTCCTTTTACTTTTTCTCTTTAAAACTTGTGGTTTGCTGATCACAATATACTCAATAAAAATAGTCAATTGAATATATTGTACATTTACAATATATTCAAACAGGCTGTGTAACTCACTCACCCTTCCCATCCTGTTCACATACACACAGACTCAAAGCCTCT